TCTCGATCTCTTGACCTCGTGATCCACCCGCCTCGGCCTCCCAAAGTGCTGGGATTACAGGCGTGAGCCACCGCGCCCGGCCGCCCCTCTTCTAATGAGTGGCCACTGATAGCAGCCCCAGACCTGCTCCACTCTTACTTGTTTCTGGCTTCCCAGGGAGGCAATCTAACCCTTGCAGCACCTGGCAGGGTTCAACAGCCATGCCCAATGGCTCTCAGAATGTCACTCTTGAGGCTGGCTATGGAAGGATGAGTGCTACACTGGCTTGGCCAGAGTGCTTCCTGAGCATGGGGCCATACCCAGGTATATCGGGAGACATCATGGCAGGGCTGCCCTACAAGGGTGGTCACTCACAAAGAACCATCACTTCCCAGAAATCAAGCTAACCGATGCTGTCCCTGTAACTTCAACTATCTTAAAAAATCTGGCAGGACCCAACAGCCTGGAGCAGCTTGACAATGGACAATGAGAAAGCAAAAGAGATTTTTTTCATTCAGCAAATGCTGTGGGGTGGCATCAGAGAACACCCCTGTCACAGCACTCCCATGGCTGTTACCCTGAGCTTTTAGAACTAAGAAACAGGACCAATGCAACCATAAGGCAATGCCTCTGGCACTGCAGGCAGGAGGGGCTAGCAGTATCCTGGGTGTGGGGTCTTTTCTTCATGGTAGCTCCGCATGAAAGCCACAGTAAAGGGGGCAGGAGAAAAAGGCTGCCTCTGCAGGTAGCTGATGATACCAGGGACTGACACCAAGTAGGTCATGCCTTCCCATGGGCACTTAGGTCCTCCACTGAGACAGGGCCCAGATGTCAGCCTGAAATTGTGGGCAGGGCAAGGAACAATACAGCTAGCACCTGCAGAAAAAGGGGCCTTGCACAGATCACACCCTCTCTACCCAGAGAAATAGATTCCTGATGGCCAGGAGAGGCTGAGGGGTACCAGGCTGGGTCTAGTTGGGTCTGGATAGGACATGGCTCAGATGGCATCTGGTCCATCTGGCAGCACTACCTGCCAACACCTTGTCCCGACAGGACAAGCTGGCTCTGTAACCCATGCTGAACCAGGCTAAGGAAAGGTATTGCACTGTCCTGAAAAACTGAGGTGCAACAATAGCTCACCAGGCTTGGTGCCTCTCTTCTAGGGCTGGGTTTGGCTTTTGCTTGTTTCCCTGAGCTCATTTTGAACCTCTTGGGAAAGTCATTGAATGGGTGACCTCTGGTAACATTTGCCTGTGGCTCTGCGTACATCATTGGGTCCTGAGCGACGGCCAAACACTTCCCAAAAGGAGCCCCTGGAGTGGCATCCTCACGTTCCTAGGGTCCCAGGATATAGATCCTCTGCCAGCACTAGGAAGGCAGGGGACTGAATGGGAACTGGTCTCCACTCTGCTTCAACCTGATGTGGCCTCAGCCTCACCAGGACACTTGAGAATCTCTGTTTTCAGACACTAACAAACTCAGGTTTCAGAACTGGTCCTTTGCTGTCGATGAAACCTTTTCTCTCAAAGGACTTAACTTGCCCTGAAAACTCCAGTCTTAGAATATTTACTTCTGTGAGAGAGGCTGAGAGCTGGTATTTGGAAGACAAAAACAGGACAGTATAGAGGAGGAATCCCATGCCCAGGAATAAGAATTTTTAGGTCTGTGCTGGGCGCGGTGGCTTACGCCTGTAATCCCAGCACTTTGGTAGGCCGAGGCGGGCGGATCACGAGGTCAAGAGATCGAGACCATCCTGGCCAACATGGTGAAACCCTGTCTCTACTAAAAATACAAAAAAATTAGCTGGGCGTGGTAGCACACACCTGTAGTCTCAGCTATTCGGGAGGCTGAGGCAGGAGAATTGCTCAAACCCGGGAGGTGGAGGTTGCAGTGAGCCGAGGTCGCGCCACTGCACTCCAGCCTGGCGCCTGGTGACAGAGTAAGACTCTGTCTCAAAAAAAAAAAAAGAATTTTTAGGTCTGGCTAAGCTGCCTCGCTTGAAAAGGCTGCTGAGCAGCCCTGGTGTGCTGGGATACAGGTCTCCTGTGGATAAGGGAGGAGATCCACGGAAAATGAACATGCACTTGCTGGCCATAGGGCCAGGGACACTGCCAGCCCGGGGAAGAGTGGCAGGGAAGCAGAGAGCATCTTACATGAAACAAGCTTCTCAGCATGGACCACAGTGTCCTGCAGCACTTACATCATTAGCCACTGCTTGAACCTCCAGCTAACTACCTCTGGGGCCCAACTGCCAAACCATCCTCTGTTCTGGACTGCCCTGGAGAACCTGTTGCCACTCAGAGGTACAAGGCCCTGGACACCTACTCCTTCACTGCCATCTAGGTCATCTGTCAAGGGTCTCTCAGAATGAGAAACAACAGAATGAGAAAGGCAGAGGGGGGCGAGGCAGCACCAGGCACACAAACCCAACCTATTTTCCCATGGCCCGGTCCTGAATAGCTGTTCCAGCTAATTCAGAGACCCTCCTGGGTCATGAGCACTTTTCCAGGCAGGGCTGACTGAAGGCACCTTATAGGCTTGAACTACAGGGTGACAATCGGTTTTTTCCCCCTACCAGCCTCAGTCAGGCACAGAGCGCCTAATCATGCCAGGGGAGCAGAGGCCTGTTCCCAGGAAGAGGGACACCCAGAAGCCCAGTGGGCCCTGACGGCTCAACTCACCCAGCTGGGGAGAAGCATGGTTGCCCCACAGCAAACCCCTGTGAAATACTGTAGATCCCAAGGTGAAAGATGCTCCTAAGAGAGGTGGGCGTTAATGGTGGACACTGCAGGGAGTGTCAGCTGTATCACGGGTCCCAAGATATATGGAGCAGGAAAGAAGCAGTGTCTAGGCCGGGCGCGGTGGCTCAAGCCTGTAATCCCAGCACTTTGGGAGGCCGAGGCGGGTGGATCACGAGGTCAAGAGATCGAGACCATCCTGGTCAACACGGTGAAACCCCGTCTCTACTAAAAATACAAAAAATTAGCTGGACATGGTGGCGCGTGCCTGTAATCCCAGCTACTCAGGAGGCTGAGGCAGGAGAATTGCCTGAACCCAGGCGGTGGAGGTTGCGGTGAGCCGAGATCGCGCCATTGCACTCCAGCCTGGGTAACAAGAGCGAAACTCTGTCCCAAAAAGAAAAAAAAAAAAAAAAAAAGAAGCGGTGTCTATTTGGCAGGTATGGACTAACAGCATTTCCAGACTACTAGAAATCCACCTACCTGCCAATAATTTCTAAGACAGCCAGTGCATAAAGCCACCTGCTACTGGTATTTGCTCTAAGCAGAGACATCTTTCACTGCATGTGCTGCACTCTTAGGAGGAAAGGGAGGAATGATATCAAACACCTTGTTATTTCTTTTCATTGCTTGCCACTCAGGCAGGGACTAGCCTCTGCCCTCGTGAACCTGGCACAGACCCCTGGTGTTCTGCCCTGATCTCTGCTATCAGCAGTTCCTCTTCCATGACACATGAAGATGTGAAATATCAACTGTTCACAGAATGTGTCCTACTCAGCAGAAGCAGCTTCCTGTTGGGCCTATGCCTCTAACAGCCCACTCAGAGCAAGCCTGGTAAGGTAAGCTCTAGGGGAGTGAAAGATGCTCACTTGCTCAGGACCATCTCGTGGAAGAAAAGCAGACAGCCCCTACACTTCCTCCCCCAAAGGCCAGGGCCTGGTTGCTGGGCACCACCTGTTTCAGGAGATATGTCCCCTACTCCCAGTCCCTGCTGTAGTTCTTCCAGCTATTCCTTTTCTAACAGTTACAGTCAAGGAAAGTATGCTTCAACGGGCCTGATGCTGCTTTGAGGCATTGTAGTAACTAAGGTAATGTATGCCACACCGAGCGAACAGCTGCCTGTGCTACAGAAATGGCAAAGAGGAAATTATCAACTACCCAACTCTGATGCAACTGGGCCTCCTATCGACACAGCCTGAGTCTCCCTAGCTCTGTCTGTGGCACAAGACACAGACGCAAGATTTGTCTTTCTCCCACTCCCTTAAAGTACCCAAGCCTGAGAGACTCACAGACCCCACTCTCCATTGACAACCCTGACTTTGTCTTCCTGTTTCCCCAATCCAGTATCCTAGCCTCTGCCTTTCCCTGCCGGCTCACCAATGCCAGGGTGGGGCTGCAGGTAGGCTCACCTGCCCTGCTTCCGAGTCATTTAGCCAAGGGTTCTGACATTCTTATTTTGGGGCCACACCTGTTCCTTGGTTTCACGCTTAAGGAGGCCAAAAAACACCTTGCGAAATATAAACATCAAAACTTCCACATCTTTCAACAGAAACCTCTGACCATGCAAGCTAAGACATGCCCATAGGCTCCCAGGAAAGTCTGAGCACCACAGCCTCACTGGAGAGGCACTTTGTGTTATCATCTGCCCCACGTTCCAAGCAAGACTCCAGGGTGTCTGCCCTCTGCCTTTGATAGCCCTATAGGCAAAGATGTCCTTGCTGAGCCAGTGCAACCTATAAGAAAACACTCAGAACATCAACAACCTGACTTTGATTGCTGTGCCATCTTTTTCCATACTTCAACTCCAGCTATCATACTAAACACGTCTAGTCAAACACAGAAAACCAAGCACTTGAGAAAAAAGGCAGTTTCACTGATATCTAACTCCACTCTAATACACAAACATGTATTAGTTCATTTATTTGTTTGAGACAGAGTCTCACTCTGTCACCTAGGCTGGAGTGCAGTGGCATGATCTTGGCTCACTGCAACCTCTGCCTCCTGGGTTCATGTGATTCTCCTGCCTCAGCCTCTTGACTAGCTGGGACTACAGGCACGCACCACCATATCCAGCTAATTTTTAATATTTTTGGTAGAGACGAGGTTTCACCACGTTGGCCAGGCTGGTCTCGAACTCCTGATCTCAAGTGATCCGCCCACCTCAGTCTCCCAAAGCGGTGGAATTAGAGGTGTGAGCTACCATGCCCGGCCATACATAAACATTTATACAAGAACTTTAAATATATAGGTACTTCCTTCCTCAGGTAGAAAAAAACACACCTTGTGCTTGCTTCAGCAGCACATATGCTAAAACTGGAACAATACAGAGAAGATTAGCATGGCCCCTGTGTAAGGATGACGCATAAATTCGTGAAGCATTCCATATTAAAAAAAAAAACAAAACAAAACACGTTTTCTAAATAATAAGAATGGCTAATATAGCTGGGCACAGTGGCTCACACCTATAATCCCAACACTTTGGGAGGCCAAAGGAGGAGGGCTGCTTGAGGCCGGGAGTTCAAGATCAGCCTGGGCAAAATAGCAAGACCCCATCTCTAAAAAAAAAAATTAGCTAGATGTGGTAGTCGCGTACCTGTAGTTCCAGCTACTCAGGAAGCTGAGGCAAGAAAATCACTTGAACCCAGGAGTCTGAGGTTACAGGGAGCTACGATCATGCTACTGCACTCCAGCCTGGGCAACAGAGGGAGACCTCAATCTCTAAAAAGTAAAGAAAGAATAGCTAATATTTATGTAGCCCTTTTTTATGTCAGGCACTATCTAAGCATGTTATAGTAATTAACTCAATGCTCATAACTATCCTATATATGAGTTAGATACTAGTATCACTTTCATTTACAAAGGGGGAAACTAAGGCAGAGCAGAAAAGTAACTCGCTCCAGGTAACACAGCTATCAGGATGCAAATGCAGGCAGTATGGCTCCAGAATCCATGCTCTGCTCCACCAGCTGACCACAGCCCTTGATGTCTGTTTCTCCACATGACCAAATGTGAGTCAGGAGTTGATTCAATGACACTGAGTCCTGACATACAGAAAAGGGAGCAGTCACTACTCCTCCAGGTAGAAAGGTGGTAGCAGAGCCACTACACACAATCAGTGCCATAATGGTTAGAGCAGTGGGGTGAGGCTGAGTTCCAAATGATGGCGTCAAGCTGTAGGAAGGCTGCAGACTGATGGGGCCTGACGCAACTTACTGAAGCCCAACACACTGAGGCAAAGCACAGCAAAATTCAGAAACAACTCATCCCGAAGCCCACGTGCACGATGCCAGGCATTGTGCTCACTCTAGGGGAGTCCCAGGGAGCTCACAATCCAGTGAGGACACTCTGGGTAAATGTGAAAGAGACACACCAGGCAGGGTGGCAAGTGTCATCAGAGACATGGTCAGGGCTGAAGGGGTCAGACAAGGTTGATGGGGGTCAAAAACAAAGGGCACTCCCAGGGCAAGAAGAACATCTGCCAAGGGGCAGAGCAGGGAATGTCAGCAGCCTGTTTGGCATCCCACACAGCCATGCTGGTATGTGGCATGTGCAGGAGGCAGAGGTGTAGGAAGATGAGCCTGAGCAGGAGACTGACCACTGGGCAAAGGAGTCAGAGGCCCAGAGCAGGCAAGGGGCACAGTGCACACAGAGAGGAAAGCAGAGGCCTGCGGTACAGATCACAGAAACAGCCAATAGAGAGGCAATGGCAATATGGGCGGAGACAAGGAGCCAGATTAAAGAGATGTCTGTGAAGCAGCAGAACCACGGCTGAGGGAGAGGGAGGACATGAGATTACTCTGAGGAGTCCCACCTGGGGGCCAGGGTAGACAGTGGCTGTCAGCAGAGATGGGGAACACATGAGGATCAGGTTTTTGCAGAAAAATAACCCCAGTCTGGGGCAAGCGGGTTCACCTCTGCTGGACCCGGGGCAAAGAACTCAGGTTTCTAGAGGTGGGATCTGCCCCAGGGCAGGGTGCAATCACTGGAGTGGCTTGAATACTCCTGCCAGGGCACTAGCTGCCCCTTCCCTGCTTTCTCAGGGCCTGGCAAAGCACAGCCACCATTCATAGGCCTCACAAGTCTTCTGGGTCCTTCAAGGAAGGTGAGTACTGTTCCCACCAGCCCCACAAACACTTCACTAAGGTACGTGATTTTTTTTTTTTTTTTTTTTTTTTTTTTTTTGACAAGAGTCTTGCTCTGTCGCCAGGCTGGAGTGCAGCGGGAGACAGGTTTTTACCATGTTAACCAGGCTAGTCTCAAACTCCTGGCCTCAAATAATTTCCACCTTGGCCTTCCAAAGTGCTGAGATTATAGGCGTGAGCCACTATGCCTGACCAGGTACTAGAAATTTTAATCAGGAACTAGACCCAAAGGACCAGAGGAAAGAGCAGTCCAAGGTACAGTAGGAAATCAGGGAGATGGAGATGATCCTCTATACTCAAGAAACACACACTTCAGAGGGAAAGAGGCAGAGGCTTTCTCAGGCCAGTCTCATCAGTTCTTGTTGGCTTCAAACACTCAATCAGATCAGGCTCCAGAAGATAAGGGGCTTAGTTCCACACTTGGGCCCCGCCTCCGGATCCCAAGCCTCTCTTCTGAGGGCTCATAAAAGGCAGGATTAAGAGCCAAAGACCAAGTACTTCTAGACAGCAGCAGCTGGGCAGGCCAAGAGTAGACTTTGTAAGTTAACCTCTTTTCTTGGGCTGACTCAGATAAGCGCCGTGTAACTAACGTTCTGCCCACTTACTCCTAACAACACTGAGACTCAGCATCTAAAATGGCCATTGTACTGAGAAGCCAGAACAGAGGAAAAAAATTGTAATAATAATAAATAAAATGGCCATTGCCAGGCTATTTTATTAATAAAAGCATTCTTGAAACAAATTATCAGGAACACCCTAGAGGCACACTACCCGTAGCTTGCAGTCTAATCACCTACTCTGAAGACACTGAGTCCAGCTAAATCACCTTCCATAGGGCTTGTCAATCCTGTCACAGTGAGCTATGATCATGCCACTGTACTCCAGCCTGGGGGACAGAGTGAGATCCTGTCTATAAATAAATAAATAATAAAGCAACATAAAAATAAACAGCCATATGCCATTTCTGGTTCAGAAGACTAAATCTTCAGTAAGACTGAGGTTTCCCATACTAATCCATATTTTTTTATATAACACAGTATCAATCTGAAATGCCAGTAGAACATTTTGGAACATTTAATGAAAGTCTGATTAATAGGGCCATTAAAGAAACAAGCATGTTGCTAATGAAATCCAAAAATGGTCTAGTCCAATAAAATGTAAGGGCTATAAACTTGAATATCTTAAGTATATTAAAACATTAACACCCTTCATAAATAGTACCAGAGGCAAAAACAAGCACTTTGCACAAAGATGTCTGTAAGTATCATTCAAAACAGCAAACAGGTAGGTATTGTGGCTTACGCCTGTAAACCCAACATTTTGAGAAGCTGAGGCAGCAGTTCAAGACCAGCCTGGGGAACACAGTGAAATCCCACCTTTACAAAAAAAGTCTTTTTAAATTAGCCAAGTGTAGTGGTACACACTTAAAGTCCCACCTACTTGGGAGGCTGAGGAAAGGGAATTGCTTGAGCCCAGGAGGTTGAGGCTACAGTGAGCTGTGATCGTGCTCCTCCACTATAGCCTCAGTGACACGGTAAGACCCTTTCTCAAAAAAAAAAAAAAAACAACAAAAAAACACTGGCCTGCAGACAACTGAAGTCCCGAGTGATGGCAAGCAAGCCTGAGCACACAACAACCCTCAAATATCTCATCTAAAGTTAACACCAGGCTGAGCACAGTGGCTCACGCCTGTTATCCCAGCACGCCTCTTATCCCAGGCCAAGGCGGGCAGATTGCTTAAGTCCAGGAGTTTGAGGCCAGCCTGGAGAATACAGAGAGACCTCATATCAATTAAAAATTTTAAAAGAGGCCAGGCACAGTGGCTCACACCTGTAATCCCAGAACTTTAAGAGGCTGGGGGCAGGTGGATCATTTAAGGTAAGGAACTCAAGACCAGCCAGGCCAAACATGGTGAAATCTCGTTTCTACCAAAACTATAAAACAGCCAGCCATGGTAGCAGGCACCTATTATCCCAGCTACCTGGGAGGCTGAAGCAGGAGAATCGCTTGAACCCAGGAGGTGGAGGTTGAAGTAAGCCAAGATTGTGCCACTGCACTCTAGCCTGGGAGACAGAGCAAGACTCCATCTTAAAAAAAATTAATTAATTAAAAAATAAATTAGTTGGCCAGGTGCAGTGGCTCACGCCTGTAATCCCAGCACTTTGGGAGGCCACGGTGGGTGTATCACCTGAGGTCAGGAGTTTGAGACCAGCCGGCCAACATGGTGAAATCCTGTCTAATAAAAATACAAAAATTAGCCAGACATGGTGGCAGGTGCCTGTAATCCCAACTACTCAGGAGGCTGAGGCAGGAGAATTGCTTGAGCCTAGGAGGCAGAGGTTGCAGTCAGCCGAGACTGTTCCAATGTACTCCAGTCTGGGCAACAGAGCAAGACTCTGTATCAAAAAAAATTTTAAAAAAATTAGCCAGGTGCAGTGGTTCACGCCTATAATCCCAGCACTCTGGGAGGCTGAGGCGGGCGGATCATCTGAGGTTGGGAGTTTGAGACCAACCTGACCAACATAGAGAAGCCTCGTCTCTACTAAAAATACAAAATTAGCCAGGTGTGCTGGTGCATGCCTGCAATCCCAGCTACTTGGGAGGCTGAGGCAGGAGAATCGCTTGAACCTGGGAGGCGGAGGTTGCAGTGAGCTGAGATGGCGCCATTGCACTACAACCTGGGCAACAAGAGTGAAACTCCATCTCAAATAAATAAATAAATAAATAAATAAGTCAGGCATGGTGGCACATGCCTGTAGTTCCAGCTACTTAGGAGGCTAAGGTGGAAGGAGCACTTGAGCCCAGAAGGTTAACGCGGCTGTGACTGTGCCACTGCACTAGCATGGGAGACAAAGTAAGACTTTGTCTTAAATAAACAAATACATACATACATACATACATACATACATACCAAAGTCTTACAATCTGGGCCCAGCCTAAGCCACCGCCACTACTGCGCTCCCACCAACCACACATCCGAACCATCCAATTGACCTTCATCTCAACCAAGGGCACCTTGGAAATCAGGAGCAGCTGGCAGAAAGGATTTAGCTGCTATCATCTTCCATCCCACCTCCTCACCAAAATAACGTTCCAGGAGCTTCAGGTCTGTTTATGAATGAAGATGTTTTCAGTTTTGCAGAATGTATGCTCATCACCAGAAATAAAAAAGTGATCCCAGAAAGTGGAAAGCACCAAAAGGGATTCTGATCTTCAAAAGTCAGTACTGCAATGAATAACAGCAGGCT